CCCTGCCGCCCGCCGCTGCCTTCGCCGCTGCCGCCGGCCGGTCCTCCTCCTCTGGCTCCCGGGGTAAGGCGCGGGGCGTGGGGCTGGATCCAGGCTGCCTGCCGGACCCACCCGGGTGCGCGGCCGCGGCTGGGGCGCGGTGACGGATCGCACAGAGCTGACGGGGAGCATCGGGGCGGCCTCCCCTGAGCCTCGGTACCCAGTGGCTCCGGGGAGGCGGGCTGACAGGCGCGGACATCGCGGACGTGCGGGCCTCGCACCTGCAAGAACCCGCGGCCGCAGCATCTGGGAGATTCGAGAGCGCAGAGCTGGGGTTTCCCTTCGGTGGACGCTGTCCAGGCTAAAGGGAGGCGTGTTTCCCGGAATAATAGGGCACGGAATCCCCCCTCTGGGGTCAGAGGAGAGACCTGTGGGAGCAGACAGGGCCGTCCGGGGAAGGTGGCTTCCTAGCCCGGGCCCCTGCTAACCCCGGCGCCCGGCGCGGTCCTCGGCGGCGTGTGGCCATCGCGCGGCCCCCGCTCTTTGTGAGCCGCGCGTGGCCGGTACGCGGACCCACCCGCGCCGCCCCGGGTCTCGAGCGCGCCCCTCCCCCACGGTGGGGGAGCAAGCTAGGGGAGGGGCACAGCGGGCGAGTGCCAGGTGAAACGTGCCACCCACCTGGCCGGTGGCCTTCAGGGCGATTGGGGGCATGAGCTATGAATTGGCACTGATGGAATTCCCCGGGTGACTGAGGGGTGGGGCAAGGCTCCCCACCCCCCACTCCGGGGTCAAACAGGTGTTTGCGAGGGGCTGGACACTGCCCAGCGTCGTGCTGGGGAGGCAGATTTCTCTGGGAGGAGGCCTTGGATGAGGGGGCCTTTGTAGTAAAATGGGCGTATAGGAGAGAAATGGGCGGTTTGGGGAGGAAGCAGGTGGTCTGAAAGGAGGGGCATTTTCCTGCTCAGGGCAGAAGGTAGGGATGGAAGTGCCTGATGTTGGCTCTGCCAGTTCAGCACCTGACCTGTTTTAAGAGTTGGCTGGCAGGCAGGCACTAAAGGGTATTACTATTGGGATAAATGGTGGGTAAGGGGCCAAGCTGGGCCCTTTCCCCCCTGCCTTCTGGTCCCGGATTCTTTCTTGATGTTCTATGGGATGAAGGCCTACAGGCTGCTGGCAGAGAGTGCCCTGGCAGGGCTTCGCTGTCTGCTCAAAGCTGACTGGTGGCTCCCTGCACCCGGCTGCTTCAAACCGGTTTGATGTTTCTTTTGTTATCTCTGCTGATTCTGTGCCTATGGTGGGGATCTGCCCGTGACCTCAGACGCTGTCTCTGGCCCTCGCTGCCTCTAGACTGAGATTCCCAGAATCCAGGAGAAGCTGCACCTTGAGACTGAAGTGTCTAGCCATTTACACTATCTCCCTGCCTCCACATAGCCCAGTGCGCTGGTATTCTCCTTAAGAGAAGGTCGGCAGCCACTTGCCCTCAGTGATCCCCTGAAATCAAAGTGGGAGCTGATTGCCTGAGCTGGGCTCAGGGTTTGAGAGGAGGCTGGTAGCTAAAGGCATGCAGCATCCGGCTCTGATGTAACCCTCAGGGTAGTGGACTGTGTGGAGCAGATGGTTATGGGAAGTGAGCTTGACTAGGCAGAGGGAAAACTGCCCAGTGTGGAGTCCTGCTGGGCCCAGAGTGATCCTATTTCCATTCATCTCTCACCCTGACTAAACTGACCAGAAGTGACCATGTCTGGCACTAGCCAGGTTCTTCTACGTTTGTGCTGCACTTCACAATATTCTCAAAATATCTTCGGAGGTGGAATCATCACCTCCATTTTGCAGATGAAGAAACTGAATCTCAGAGAGGTCAGGTGACTTACTCCGGTTCTCACCAATTCTGAGTGACCAAACCAGAGTTCACACCTGAGTCTGGCTCAACATGTTTCCTAATATATCTGTCTATCTCCTGGTTATAGAATTAGGGGGATCAGAGCATTTCTGCCCATTTTAAATCATGCTTTGTCTCATGCCTGCCATTGAGATTGTGTTTTAGCTTTCTGAAAATACTTCCCATATGCTGCTCCATTTTATCCTTATACCAACCCTAGGAGGTAAGTAGAACAGGAATATAATAAACCAAAATCAAAACCATTTCCATCAAGTCAGTTCTGACTCATGGTGGCTCTGTAGGGCAGTATAATAGAACTGCTCTCAAGTGTAAGACTGTAATCTTTGTGGAAGCAGATTGCCAGATTTTTCTTCTATAGAGCAGTTGGTGAGTTTGAAATGCTGACTGATTTTTCAGCAGCAAAGTGTTTAATTGCTGCACCACCAGGCCTCCTTAGACTAAAATAATAGCTGCTGGGTGCTTACCAAGCACCAGGCATTGGTAAATGCTTTACATGTGGGATCTCATGTAGCCCTTATATAAACAGCATCATGGAATTAGGGTCTACTACCAGAGAGCTGGAAAGTCACTAAGGATGATAGAAGGAGAATTGATGCCTTTGAGCTGTGGTGCTGGAGAAGAGTATTGAATATACCATGGACTGCTAAGAGAACAAACAGGCCTGTCAGAGAGAGGGTGAGACCAGGATGCTCCTTGGAGGGACTAGTCCTTGGAGAAGGACATCATGCTTGAGAGAGTGGAGGAACCGTGCAGGACAGGAAGACCCTGGATGAAATAGACTGACTCAGTGACTGGGCTAAATAGGGGTAGATATGTCAGACAATGAAGTTGGCTCAAGATAGAGCAGGATTCAGGGCTGTAGTACCTAGGGTCGCTATGAATTGCAAGTGACTCAAGGGCACATAACAACAACAACATCATCCCCATTTTATAGATGACAGTGTCAAGGCTCGAAGAAATACCTGTTGTTGTTGCGTACCATAGAGTCAGAACCAACCCATAGTTGACCCTCCAGTGGGTTTTCAGAGGCAGTTAATCACGCAGGAGAAGATTACCCATCATTCTCCCGTGGAGCAGTTGGTGGCCTCGAACCACATGCCTTCGGGATTGCAGTGCAGCTTCTTGTCATTAGGCTACCAGAGCTCCCAAAGAAGTTCCTAGGGCTAGTAAATGGTGAAGGTGTAATTTGAACCTTCCCTTTCCTTTTTGTGGAGCTTGTAAATTTAACCCATCAAATGTACCAAGAATCAAAAAAAAAAAAAAATGTACCAAGAACCATAATAGTGATACTAGTAGTGCAAATTAATAACAGGAACTAACATCTATATAATGTTTTGAAGATTTATAGACACCTTTTACATATATTATTTCCTCAGTGCCCTGTGAATAGATTTACCATATATTATCATCCCTTCATTTACCAGATGAAGAAATTTACATTTAAGTAGGTTAAGAGGCCAAGTCAGTAGCAGAACCAGGATTAGAACCCCTGCCTCCTGAGTCCCAGTGTTCCTTGCAGCTTCTCTGATTTGTTCATATGCACCGCTCTCTTCTCCAGATCACATCTCCCCGGACCCTCAGGCCCTCCTGCTGCAGCCCCGACCTGGGCAATGTCTTCCTCCGATGAAGAAACGCTCAGTGAGCGGTCCTGCCGGAGCGAGCGGTCATGTCGGAGCGAGCGGTCTTACAGGAGCGAGCGATCAGGGAGCCTTTCGCCCTGTCCCCCTGGGGACACCTTGCCCTGGAATCTACCTCTGCATGAGCAGAAGAAGCGGAAAAGCCAGGATTCAGTACTGGACCCAGCAGAGCGTGCTGTGGTCAGAGTTGCTGGTAAGAGTGGTCCCCAAGCAGCTAGATACCATGGGTATGAGGGAGGAGTGGACCCGGGTACACTGGCTGTGTGTGGGTGGAGGGTCCAGCTCAGACATCTCTAACGAGCCAGCTGGCATCTAATTTGTTATTACTACTAGGAAAATTATTAAAATGGCATTAAAAATATCAAAGAAGAAAATTTTGCATCCCTTCCTTGCTCCCTATTCTTATATGAAACCTTTTTTCATTTGTGTAACTTCTTTGTCCACGTGCTATCATCTTTTTCAAGCAGCTTTCTTCGTGGCTTATAAGCCATTCTGGATCTTATTATTTAAAAAAGAAAAAAAGATATTGCATTTTCTTTGACAGTTTCCACAGTAAGTGAGATTACCATTTGACAGTTTCTACACAAATTTTTCAGTTGTATTAGTTATATTTCCACAACAGGTCAACCTTCTCTTTGTGTTCTAGTTGCTCCATTTCTGATACTATAGTTTTGCGCATCTTTTGGTCTTTCTCTCTCTCTCTCTCTCTCTCTCACACACACACACACACACACACACACACACCCCACTGGTGGCCTAGTGGCAAGAAGCTGTGCTGCAATCCTAAAGGCGCGTGGTTCAACTCCACCAGTTGCTCCATGGGAGAAGGATGAGCAGTCCCCTCATGTGTGATTAATTGACTCTGAAAACCCGCCGAAGGGTCAACTATGGGTCAGTTCTGACTTGATGGCACTCATCAAGTAGCTAGTAGTCGCAGTCTGGACACCATCTAGTTCTGCTGGTCCCCGGATAGGCCATGGCATGTAAAGGCTACTAGCTGTCTAAATTATTTTCTTTGAAACTTTTGCTTTCACTTATTCATAATAAGAACCATTTTCCATGTTACAAATTAGTCTTTATAGTTACCCTTTTTGAAGGCTTTTTAAAATTAAATGATTTATTATTATTATTAATTTTAATGAAAGTTTACAGAGACTTTGGATTTCCATTCATTCATTGTCGCACTTTTCTCCTTGCTCTCAGTTAGCTCTTCTCTTTGAAAAATAAAAGAAAAATTCTTTCATTGTTATACAATCCTCCCGCCCCAGTACACTCCACTGTGCAGCCTTCGTTCTGGACTCCTGTCATGACAATAATACCTAGTCATATATCCCCTTTAAACAGTTCTCTTCCTCATCTGTTTCAATGCAGTATACATTATTTATCCCCTCTTTCTCAGTCTCCCTCCAACCCCGATGTCAGTCCTGTTTTAAAACAGTGTCACCACGCAGTATTTGTCCTTTTGTTACTGAGATATTTCACTCAGAATAATTTCCTCCAGGGTCACCCATTTTATATAATATTTGATGAGTTCCTTGTGAACAAAGCCGCAATAAACCTGGATGTGTATATTTTGTATTTTCTAAAATGCTGCAACAATCATTCTTAGGAATAAGAATTGTTTACTTTTGTTGAGCTATTTACTTATTTATTTTAGAATAAAATCTTACAAAAGGGTAATTTAATGCATGCCACTTTGCAGGAGTATACACATGCACTCTCAATGGTTGGTGAGGGCAGAGGGCTGCCTATTCCTGTGGTGAGAAGTTCTCCTAAGGCCAGCAGCAGTGCAGTGTGGTAACCCTGGACTCAGTTAGCTTTGGAGTCAGAAAGATGAGGTTCCAGATTATAGCCCTGCCACTTGTAAGTTCTGTGATCTTGGACAAGTCTCTTTGCTGAGCTTTACTTTCTTCACCTTAAAAGATATTTGCCTTCCTCCTGTACCGGTCGGATCCGATTTGACTGTACACATACACAAAATAATAAAATTTTTAAAATATATTTGCCATGTAAGGAAAGGTCTTAGCATGGATTTTGGCTCAGTAAACAGGTGTTTTGTGAGGCTCCTGTCTAAACCATCCAGAGCTACCACCACTGGTGCTTTCATATCTCAGCTGGTATTGGTGCCAAAGTGCAGGTGGACAGAGAAGCAATGTCTGCAGCGAAATCAGTGACATCCCTCACCTCCAGTCCATCTCCAGTCTTGCTGCGCCTTCCTGATTTCCTTTCTCCCAAACCTGACCCTTCTTTTCCATGCCCACACTCCTGCTTTATCTTCCCTCAGCTGGCCCTTCCCACAGTGATTTAATAGGTTCTGCTTGCCTCCTTTCCTCCAGATGACTAACAGAGGATTTTGTTCTAAAATGCAAACCCGACCTTGTTACTCACCTGCTTATAAAGTTCTTTTTTTGGCTTCTCATTGCCTGTGGAATAAAGACTTATTAAAATCAAGCCCTTACCCACCTTCTCCTCTTTACCTGCTGCCACCCCTCCCCGCAAGCACCTTGGCCCTCTGATGCATTGTACTGTAACTTGCTTCCCAGGGGTGCACATCTTGCAAGATCAGACCTCCATGCTTTAATTCTCTTCTCTGCAAGATGCCTGGGAACTCCACTTCCACTGTTAAGCATCACCTCCTCCGTTCCTAATCTCCCCAGTGGTATCCAAAGCTCCTGCCTCCACTTTCATATTGGCACTTTTCTCTCCTCCGTGTTCCCTTGCACAGAGTAGTAGTTATCCCACAGGGTGCCTGCCATTCCCTCAGGACTCTGAGCAATTTAGGACTGTGAGCAATTTGGGACAGTGCTTTGTTTATATTTTTACCTCCAGCTACTTGCACAGTCCTTTAGGAATTGACCGATAATAAATGACTGAATGAATTAATGCAAGCACTGTTTAGAGAGTTCATAATCGAGGGGCACTCTAGGGGCAGATTGCTACACAGGAGAAAGAGTTATGTGGGCTCAAGTAATGGGGAAAGGCTATTAAGCAGGGTGAGTTTCAAGGGAAGAGCAGGGTGAGGCCAGAAGAATAAGCGGGATGGTTGGAGCTGCTACTGATGAGGGTTGGAGGTAGTGTTTTCAGTCTGCCTCACGTCCTTTGGGTCTAGGGCATCAGCTTGTTGATAAAGCTGTCAGAGTTGCCTCTAGGTTACAGGCAGGGATTTCCTTGCCCTCATCTTTGCAGGATCATGACTCAAGGATCCCAGGGACACTCAGATCCTTTCTCCTTCAGGCAGGTGGATGCTTTATTCATCCAGTCCTTGGCTCCATCTCTCAGGCATGCCCATGCAGCTCTCTGTTGATGATTTCCTCTTCCAGTCTTCCCTGAGGAGGCCCTGGGGATGATTTGTCTGCTCTTTAACACTCCAAGTCTAGAATAGAAGTGGAGTGGGCCCACGGGGGTTTAACCCCCAGGCAATGCCCCCGCAGACCCATGGCCCGGCTGGGTCGAGTGAGTAAAGGGATTGCACTGTGCTGGTTTTCTGGCATTGTTGCTGATGTTCTTTGTCTCCCCACACTGCCAAATGACTGTCTTGAGGAGGGGGCTGGGCCAGTGAGGCTGAAAGTGGGGAGACTGCTGTGGTTAAAAATAACTTGGGCGCTGCAGTTGGGCGTGTTTCCTTAGCAGGAGAGATGTTTCCTTAGCTGGAGAGAGCCGAGGCAGCAGAGATAGGCAGGGCTGCTACTTCAGGGACTGGCTGGAATCTTGCTGTGATTTCAGAATGTCGTGGGGGCTCCAGCAGAGCAATTGGAAAGGCAGCTGTGTACCCCTGTGGTGACTCCTTCCTGTGAGGTATAGGGAAGGCATATCTGGGAGATACTGGGTGCTCTGAAGCTTCTGAGGTTAGAACTGTCATTCTGAGAGGAAATGAAGTCAGTTTTGGGTTGGAAGCCAGCTGCAGCCTATACTCTTCCCGACAGGCTCCGGTTAACGAAGCCAAGGCGAGATGCATGAATCGGTCTTTGCTCTGCTTGAGAGGCCTGATGGGGGCTCACTGCTGAGCAGACACATCAGACTAGAAGGTCATGTCAGGGCCAAGCAACCTGCTGATCCCAGGCTACAAAGCCTGGACAGGTTTCCAGGGGCTCCACACATGCTGTAGCCTGCGTCTTCCTTGCCCCTTTCTCCTCTCTCCATATTCTCTCTTCCTTTTCTGTGCCAGCCCTACTCTTGAATCACTCTCCTAAGTCAAATCAAAACCCAAACTGGTTGCCATGGAGTTGATTATAAATCACAGTGACCCCATGTGTGTCAGAGTAGAACTGCACGCTGCATGGATTTCAGTGCTTGTCATCTTATGGAATAGGTCGCCAGGACTTTCTTCCATGGTAGATTCCAATTGCCAGCTCCCTCTGTTAATAGCTAGACCATTTGCAGCATTCAAGGATCTCCCCGAAGCCCAGTCACGTTGAAATATAAGAGTAGCTGTTAGAAAAACACCTTATGTCTGCGTATCAGCTTTATGTTTACATAGAAATTTCACAATAACTCTGTATGGTAGGCAGGACAGGTGTGAGGATTGGAGGGACTTGCCTCTGGTTGTCACACAGGATGGGGAGACACAGATCTTCTAGCCCCAGGTGCATTGCTATTTCTATTTCCTTAGGCAATGTCTGTCAACTAGGCCAGCCAGAATCTTCTGCAGAAGACAATCTGAATAGGTGACTTGTGGACAGTAAAACAGGACGTGAGACAGATTGTCACATGGTTATATACCGCACAACTCTAGGGGGCACCATCCACATTTGTTGTGATCATAAACCCACTGTTATTAACTAGATTGACTTGGAGCAACCCTGTGGGCAGGGGTAAAAATGGCCAAACCTTCCAACCTTTTGGCTAACAGTCAAGTGCTTTGACATCTGTGTCACCTGGGTACTGTTATAGATTTGTGTAATTCATATTTTAAGTTTCCTGCAAGTGGTAGTAGTACCTGGAAGAGGAGCCATGCTTGGGCTAGTGGAGGGATTTCCCATCCATCTTTTAATCACTATTCATTCATCTAACATAAATATGTAGTACCCTTCTTGTTCTTGGCATTGATGTTAAAAAAAAGAAAACAAACAAGAAAACGCAAAACCAACTGAGGATGGAAGAATGTACTTATTCACATTCCCTTTATAGAGGAAAACATTCCCTATACCCTTCCCTTTATGGAAGAAATCATTCCATTCTACGTATATTAGGATG